TGGCATGAGGTATGGGTCTAGTTTCATTCTTCCACATATGGATGTCCAGTTTCCCCAGCACCATTTACTGAAAAGGCAGTCTCTTCCCCAGCATGTGGTCTTGGTGCCTTTGTCAAAGATCAGATGGCTGTAGATGTGTGGGTTGATTTCTGTTTCCTGGCTCTGTGTGTCTGTTTTTATGGCAGTACCATGCTATTTGGGTTATTACAGCTTTGTAGTATAGTTTAAAGTCAGTTAGCTACACTATTTTCTTTCTTTTTTTTTTTTTTTTAAAAGATGACCGGTAAGGGGATTTTAACCCTTGGCTTGGTGTTGTCAGCACCACGCTAACCCAGTGAGCAAACTGGCCATCCCTATATGGGATCCGAACCTGTGGCCTTGGTGTTATCAGCACCGCACTCTCCCGAGTGAGCCACGGGCCGGCCCTACACTATTTTCTTTTCAAAAGTAATGAATATATATTACTTTTATAATATGTTTTTAAAGTCTTTATTTGCCTTTTATCAAAGATGATTAGTTCAAGGACAGTCTAGTGGATTGTAAATTAAAATAGTTTCTTTTCAAACCTCCTATTTGTATTCTCTGGTGCTCAAAAGCTAGAGACTGATTCATCTGTAAACTTTCATATAAAGTAGTAACCATTCAACTTAGTTCTCGTTAAAAAAAATTTTCTCTTAAAAAATAGTAAGTCCCATCTTTTAAAAAGGCCATGTTCTCTTTAGCAAAGAGCATAACCACACACCAAACATTTATTTTAATATTTATTTGTTTGTTTTATTTTGGTGGCTGGCCAGTACATATTTTAATACCTCTTAAACTGCCTTGTTCTTGTTATTAATATTATTTTGTCAGTATTTCCTCTCGCTTATTTATACTTCTGATAACTCTCAAAAACAAATTTTTTCTAAATTTTAGGCTTTTCCCTCAAAGAGGAACATAATAACTTTAAGATCAATAAATCCCTTTAGTCCTTGTTTTTAGCTCCAATGTTAGTATACTGAATTTTACCTTGAATACAGCCTAAGTCTTATCAAAGTTTCTTACCAAATGCTCGGAAGGAGGTATTTTAGGTTACAAATTTATTTTGCAGGTGATGAGTGCACTTTTAACATTAAAGGTCATGGTTAGATAAATGTCACACAAAACCCACAATACCGAGCTTGAGCAAATATTCATAAATGAATTTTGTCAAAATTTCGTTAAAAGCTGTCATATCCTTGCTTTCCTATTGTTACCAAAGGTTAAATTACACTTACAACAAAAGCCTCTTTAAGTTTCTGCCTGATTTACCTAATGCCTGTCTCAAATAGTCTTAACTTTATTTTCTCTGAACTTACAAAGGAAGCAAGGAGCAGTGTTTTTTAATACTAACCTCTGCTGCTTCAGAAGAAATTTAAAGTATGACAGAATCTTGCTAACAAATACCATTGTCCATGAGTAAAAATGAAATTCAGGAAAAATATACCAGGCTATTTAGAGGAATAGAAATTAAATAGAAAAATGAACCATGTCTGTTTAAAGTGAGATTATTCGTTATACCTGTGGAGATTTAAAAGGGGGGAAAAAATCAATAGAGGTAAATTAGCTCCCTTAAGGTCACAGTGTTAATTAATGGCTGTGCTAGAACTAGAACTGTGGTCTTCTGTCTGCTAGTTTGCTAATTCTACCACACCATGTTGTGTCTACCTGAATATGCACGCTCCTGCATATAACTGTATTTTTCTAAGCATGCCAACCCTATGGGTCAGCACTTCCACTCCTGCGCATATACCCAGTATCCAGATGAGTACTTATATCTACCAAAAGACATGTACTAGATTATTCATGGCAACATTGTTCTTCATAGCCAAAATCTATTGGAAGGAAGGGCAGGGAGAAAGAAGGAAATAGAACCCAAATATCAGTCAGCGGTAGAATGGATAAATAAATTATAGTATATTCACACAATGGAACATTACACAGCAATTAAAAAGAAAACTACTGATTCATGGAGCAATATGGGTAAATCTCAAAAAGCATATTGTTGAGCAGAAGTAACCAGACATAAGAAATTATGGAAAGCACTTGTGTTATTTTTGTTTGTTTATAAACTCCTTAAAAGCAGAGACCATTTCTTTACATCTGTAGCTCTCCAGCACCTAGCACATTGTCCAGTACGTAATAGGTGCTCAGTGTGTATTTCTTTTAATGGAGTGTATACGATACAGAAAAAATACAAAGGAAACACCAGTATTTTTCTAAAGAGAAAAACAGCAGGACATATGGGGAACAATACTTTATTCTCAAAAACCTGAAATATTAACACAATATTAACTATAACTAACACTTGACTAGGTATAACCATGACAAGACTGTAGTAATATCTCAGAATATTTCAAAACAGGTACAGCTAATGGAGCCATGGTTTGACCCTAGAATTAATCTAAACATGATATCAGGCAGGTGTGATAATTTCCTCTATTCATATTTTTGGCCTCAGTGGAGGAAGAAGTCTTCTCATCTCCTTTCCCTACTTCTTACTCAACAGGAGTGCTGAGTTGATTGGTCAGATTCTAGCACACTGATTAGGTTCCTGCTTTTGAGGATTTGGGCCTTGGGGTTTAAATAAGCTTATGGTGGATGAAAGCATTCTCTGGCTCTTTTTCCTCTGGTATTGCTGGGTGCACTGGCCTTTCACTTCGTGAAGATGATGAATTTGAGAGCGGGAACTGAAGTAGTTCTTCAGTCTGCTTTGGTTCCCGACTTCTTATAACCAGTCTAGTAGGAAAAAGGACCTCACATGGTTCACTGCAGTTTATTAGAGCTCTACACTGAAATTAGGGCCACCTCCACCATCATAATACAACATTATTTTCCTTCCCTCGGGCATTTGATTCTCTTGGGGGACACCCAGAAGGTGGGAGAGCTAGTCCAAGATAGGATTTGTAAATTCTGGATCTCCTGGCCAAATGCCAGCTCTAATAGGACTATTCTTTAATAGTACCTCATTCTTTCATCCCTAAACTCATACCCCAAGAAGTCTTTATGATCCCTTTTCTCCTGCCATTGGTGCTTCAGGCACTTATGGGTATTACACAGGTATTACTGCCCATTATTCTTGAAAGTTTATCATGTGGAAAAAGTCCTTGAAGTCTGATTAAGAAGAGATATGCTCATGTTGGAAAAAGATTTATCCTACTACAGGTTGCGTATCCCTTATCCAAAATGCTTGAGCCAAAAGTGCTTTGGATTTTGGACTTTTTCACATTTTGGAATATTTGCATTATACTTACAAGTCAAGCATCCCTAATTTGAAAATCTGAGACATAAAATGCTCCAATGATCATTTCCTTTAAGCGTCATGTCAGTGCTCAAAATATTTTGGATTTTGGAGCATTTCAGATTTCAGATTTTCAGATGAGCCAGAGAATGCTTTCTTCCACCATAAGCTTATTTAAACCCCAAGGCCCAAATCCTCAAAAGCATGAACCTAATCAGTGTGCTAGAATCTGACCAATCAACTCAGCAACTTGACCTGTAATTATAGATCATACAGGGCACCTGAATTCAAGTCCCCCAGGGAGCCACAGGAGCAAATTGTTAGTCAATTTGCAATCATCTGTAGCTCACCCTGGCTGCTGAGCTTTAATTAACACAGCTTTGTGAGGAGTGGTTGTGCCAGCAAGTTCATTTTGTTAAATATTGACTGACAGGATTTCCGTTCTTCTAGTAGAACAGTCTCATAAACAAGGTGAGAAGACAGAAGACATTGTCTGAACAATTTAAGTGGATAGGAAAAAACACTAGATAATGTTCTTTTATACAAAGGCATTTGTGAAGTGCTGAGTGTGTAATGCTGAGATGGGAAAATCTCTATTTTTCCTTAATATTACCTAAAATACCTTTAAAAAGTTTATTATTTTTCATCTCAATTTTTTAAATGAGGAGTTAAGCTGTGTGCTCAATTTTCCCATTATTGTATTATCTAGATAAGATATATGCAGCTTGTTGTCAGTGAAGCTTTCCGGAAATGTTTTATTTTTACCTCAGGGAAAACAAAAGGCTGTGTTCTTTCCTTTCTTGCTGATGCTATCAGCCCAGTGCAGAGATTTTGACCCCTTGTATTCTTACTTTACACTGGGACTTTTCAAATGGACTAAGCTTGCCAACAGGACTTGAATTTCATGTCTTATTACCCTGTTACGATTTAAAATTTGAGCACCTCTGAAGATAACTGACACGATGCCATGACAAAAACACATCAAGAATTTCTACCAACTTTTTTGTGAGGTTACCCCAAAATAAACAGAGAGGCAGGAGGTTAATTTACATGGACATACATGAGTTAATACTGAACAGTTTCATTCTTTGTCTTCTTGCTCATTTTTACCAAACCCACACATTGCCCCTTCAGTGTACAGTTGTGCTCTGAGCAAATACTCAGCAAATACCCATTATTGGGTAATGCTGTTCAGTCAGACAAATATACCATTTTGATTGCTCTTCTCTAAATTTTATCATTGAGCTGAAATAAATTTTTATTTATTACTAGCAAACTTTAAATTTAGATATTGTGAAAATTATTAGGAAAAAATATTTTTTTACCTTTACAGTCTTCCATTGGAATTGTTTATTCTTGATTTAATATCTACCTGTGACAATGAAATCTCAGTATCAAGAGAAAAGGTATCTCATATAGAAAAACATATACTTGCGTATGTAAACTTTAAAGTCGTCACTTTAAATGGTAGATAAAACCATGTTGAAGGGGCTGGCCCATGGCTCACTTGGGAGAATGTGGTGCTGATAACACAAGGCCATGGGTTCAGATCCCTGTATAGGGATGGCCAGTTAGCTCACTTGGGAGAGCATGGTGCTGACAACCCCAAGTCAAGGGTTAGATCCCCTTACCGGTCATCTTTAAAAAAAAAAAAAAAAACAACCCATGTTGAAAATGAATTTCAGGGAGTCCTTTTAAATTATCTAACTTTCTTATGTCGGTTTGCTGGTTGCTTTTGCAGTTTAACTCGGCTGCTAAGCAGCTGATAGAATGGGATAAGCCTGCAGTGCCAGGAGGTGATGCTGGAGAATGTACCTCGGCAGCAGCCCAGAGCAGCACTGCCCCAAAGCACTCTGACACCAAGAAGAACACCAAAAAGCGGCATTCCTTCACTTCGCTCACTATGGCCAACAAATCCTCCCAGGCATCCCAGAACCGCCACTCCATGGAGATCAGCCCTCCTGTCCTCATCAGCTCCAGCAACCCCACAGCTGCTGCTCGGATCAGTGAACTGTCTGGGCTTTCCTGCAGTGCCCCTTCTCAGGTAAATCCTCAAAAAGATATTAAAAAGAGCTCAGCCATGAAAAATCTACTCACAAACATGTTTGTTCACTAGCCAGAAAATATTTATTTTGAACTTCTGAAGATAGTAGCTTTTCTGGGAAGCAGAGCCTTTCTTCATTTTCTGGAGAAGGGAAAGAGCTAACTTGAGTGTGTATCAACCCAGAACTAAATACTCAGTCATTTTCAAAGGAAAGATCAGAACTTACAAGATGATAAGTAGTATTTATCAATTTCACCAAGCAGTCTCTCAGTTTTACAGAACATTCTCATTCACAGTGCTGCTTTGGGAGATCTTGCCAACTCTATCTCTACCCACACTTAAGATGCTATGGTCAAAACTTATGTTTGCAGCTATTTGTGTCTATATAACTTACTTTGATATTTAGGCTTCCTAGTCAGTCATACAGAAAGAAGAGAAAGGACAGAAAGGAACATTTAATTTAAATTAGAAAATGACCTTGCATTTTTTTTAAAGCTCATTAGTTTATCAAGACTTTGGACTGTCTTAAAAAAAATAGCTACACATTATTCTTGTGTTAATAAAATACATGAAATGATTTGGAACATTCATTCATTTGACAAATATTTATTGAGTACCTTATTATTAGATCCTTCTAGGCACTGTGTACACCAAGATATATAAGATGTAGAACTTTTCCCATGTTAGGCCTTAATTTTGGACTACAAAATGAGCCTAACTGTAGCCTGCCCAAGTCACGTGGCTGCTGTCTGTCATTATCCACTTAAGTGATGGCTGTGTTTTCCTCAGCTCAAAGGTCAGAGAGCCTAGTTCAAAGCAGCCTGACACAAGCAGGAGAAATTTCTTTCAAGTCTCATGTTTCCTTTTAAAAATCCATGCAGATTTTACATTCTTTTCCACAGTATAGCTGTATTGGGTTTTTTTTCATTCAGCATAAAAATGAAATTATTTCTCCTTCAAGAAAAAGAAAGAAAAAAATACATGGTCCTGGTCCTCAAGAAGTTTACAGTTTATTTTATTAATTAATTTATTTATTTATTTATTTTCATATTTTAAACCCAAATTTTTTCTTTTTTCTTTTTTTAATTTATTTTTTATTAGCATATTCATTATTACAAATCATCCTTGTTCTTTATGTTCCCTATTCAATCTCTCCCTCCCCCTCCCGCTTTCCGCTCTCTCTTCCCCCTCCCCCCCCCCCCTCTAATAACCATAGATGTGTTCTCTCCATCTGATAGATTAACTGTTCCTCTGCTGGTTTGTTGCCTAGATGATCTATCCAGTGCTGAAAGGTGTGATCAAGTCCTCCCCTATTCCTGTAAAGCAGATGCTTCTGTTATTCTGGAGTGTGCTTTGTGGAGAGAGAGGACCTCTTTTTTTTTTTTCTATCTCTGCTGGTGCCTCTCCTTGTGTCAGTGCATTTAAGAGTCTGGTGTGCCATCTGCATGGTGGGTGCGACTGCCGCTATAGAGAGTAGCTGCTTTTGCAGCAGCCATGGCACTTGCAGTGGCTGTGGAGGGCTACCCACGTGGAAATGGTATTTTTGGTGTGCTCTTCACCTGATTGCAGCTGGGTTTGGCTTCTTCTGGCTCCGTGCCTCAGGACCCTAGCAGGGCCTGGGGCAGTGGCAGCAGCTTGCCTAGCTGTGGCTGGGTTTGGCTTACCCCGGCTCCATTGCCTCAGTACCCTGGAAGATGTTTACACTTCAATAAATGCCTATTTTGGACCACAGAATAAAAATTTACAATATAGTTTTTGGTGTTCTTTACCAATTTTATTAAAAATTATTTTATCTCAGCTTTATTTATTTGACCGTGCTTATTTAGATTCATACTGCATGTTGTGACTTAAATGCATTCACTTTCTGAATGGCATTGTGTTTTTTGGTGGTTTTTAGGTGGTGGGGCCATGAAACTTTTGATATTACTGAGGGAAATAGGACACAAACATGCACACATATCCATGACTAGAACATGAATACAGTGAGGGCAGAGGCCTTTGCTTGATTCACTGATAAAATACCAAATGACTGACATACAGTAAGCATTCGATAAATATTTGTTGAATGAATGAATCACTTAAAAAATGGTCAGAGAGGGGAACCATGTTACTTTACGTGTAACTAATCATACCCATGCATTATAGATCAGAGTAGGAAGTACCAAGTGAGGTTAAACTGGATAGGTTCGAAGCTGAAGATTTTTGAATAAGGTTCTGAAGGAGAAACCCAGTAAAGATAGCCATTCACTAATAGAAAATTGCATCATTTTGACTCAGCGTGTTTTATCTTGTGACTTAGCAGCATATGCACAAAGACGTTTTCTTGAAATAAAAGCCAAGGTTCTGCTAAGGCTAGTGACAACTCAGAATGGGAATAGCTTTAAAAAAATGGTCAGTAATTTTTTGGCAGTAGAGAAAAATAAAAGAGAAAGGAAGGTGAACAAAGCATTTATATATTTTGTAGGGAACTCAGCAGTCAGGTGTGAGCATGCCTGATGCTGCCACACCAGAGCTGGGAATGAAGACTATAAAAGTAGAGCTATTTTTGTTTTGCTTCAAGTAGCTTAGGAAACAAGGCACCTTCTGTGTTCCATTGAAACAGTTTCCCCTTCAACTATTCCACCCCTCCTCCCCAGTTTGTTCTGTTTTCAGTGGTAGCATGTTGCCTCAGGGCGAAGTTATTTCTAGAAGAGGACGGGAGATGTTTGAAGTGCTGCCTGGGTTCTCCAGCCTAGGTTTACAGAAAACACTACTTATGTAGGGCACTGTGTACATTGGAGGGAACCACAGTCCACAATAAAGCATTGAGAATATGGAGCCCATGTGACATGCAAACACTCTCCTACCCATGGAGATCAGTGTAGATGGGAAAGTGGCTTCTGTGAAACTGTTTAAAACAGGGCTCTCCTTTTTCTTTGCTCAGCAAAAGACCTATCAGATTTTATTTTTCAGGTGCCTCCGTTTTGAGGTTATCAGTAAATTTAACTGAGTCCCATTGCTTAATCTGTCTCCTGCTGTTGGCCTAATTTCTGTCTTCCTTTTCCTTACTCATGCTCACTTTTACCTTCAATTTTTTTTTTTTTTTTCTCTTCATGTTAGTTAGAATTAGGTTTGGTTGCATTTATTAGAAAATCAAAAGTAAGAGGCCTAAAGAAGTGAGTATTTATTTTTCTCTCATCCAAATGAAATTTAGATATAGGCAATTGGGTGCTGCTGTGATAGCTCCACAAAGTTATTAGGGACTTCACCTTCCAGCTCACCTTTCCACCATATAGGTAGGTCATTATGTTCATGCTTCTATTTGGCAATTAGAGATCTCACTTTCACATTCAAATTTCAGGCAGCAGGACGGTGAAATGGACAAAAAGGAGAAAAGGGCTTGCTTGCTATTGTATTTAATGACTGTTGAATGATGGCTGAACTTTCAGATGGATTAATTGGAAGATTATTTATACAGATGTGCATGGATGTCTGTGATTGATAACCGTAAAAGCACATGATGGTATAAGCAACCATGACGTTTTGTCTACTCCTCTGACCACACCTGTGATATTTTTTGGCTTCTGCCAGCTGGAGGAGTGATTCATAATATTAAGTGTTCATAATATTAAGAGACTTCATCTCTTCCTATGCTCAGTGCTAGGAACAGTCTTGTGTTAAAGTTTTGCTTGAAGGATGCTCCACGTTCAGTGCTTCAGTTCTGCATCTGCAATGGCAGAGACCTTAGGGAGCCTCTGGTCCAACTCCTCATGGGGGTCTGGAGACGTGAAGTAACTTATCCCAAGACCATGAAGTCATTAGCAGCTAATTATTCTGACTCCACTCTGGGGCTTTTAGACAAATGTCAGTCAATAATGAAATCTTTTTGAGATGTTTGCAAGGTCAGGCCCAAGAAACTGTATTTTAGTAAGTTTTTTTTTCTGCCCCAAACGCTCCTTGATAATGATGTCCACTTTGAGGTGAGCTTCATTGTATCTTATAAGAAATACTACCTCTTTTGTGTGCTGCCAACTTGCAGATGTCCTTGGAATGTGTATATAAGTAGATTTATTGGATAAAATAGCTAAAGGCCATTAGGTTCTTCCTAGAATGAAAACCAATGTGCTTCCCATTAGACATAGATTGGAAATAGACTTTGGTTCACAGGAGAGACAGAAAACGAGGGTTTGGGGAGAAACTGTTACTAGTAGCATCCCCTGGATCTACTTAGGTTTAAGCCTTAGGTTCAATCAATATATGGACCAACAGGTGCAGACATATTTTAAAAGATTATGAATTCCATGTATAACACAGATTTATTTGTGAAAATAAATTGTATGCTGTGAAGCTGATTATCCCTGGCCCTGGTGGGGCCTAACTGAGTGGAAAACTGAAAGCTTCCTTCAAGCCCTCTGGGAATTAGTCTCTGAGCTTTCTTTGTCCTGGTAATCTTTTTCTTAATTTTTGGGAATTGAGGAAACTATGTTTGGGATTACATTTTTATTATAAAAAGCCTAGCATTTCTGGTGCATCATTGTTTCCTTGGGGAAACAGGGTACCAGACAAACACATTGCTTCCATTCATAGTGGAGGAAAAACACTCCAGTTGGGCAGGAACCCATCCCCCTACTTGTGCAGCATCAAGTAACACCACTGCATTCTGCAGTTGGACCTGCTGTGCAACCTGAATGTAATTGATCAAGTAACTGAACACAGGCAATGAAATGACCTGAATAACTCAATTTCTTTCTAGTAAATTAATCTTGGGTAGCATCACGGATAAGACACCTTTGAAAACAACTAATTTGGCTTGACATTGTTCCTTTAAAGGTTTTATTAATAATTGCCTGCTATAGGCATGTCTAGGCAGCTGCTTTTTAATTATGCATCTCACTGAAAGGTAGTAGTCATGAAAAATGATCCAGAAAATAGCAAAATACCAAGAATTTCACATACATTTAACATATTGGTAGACAGGGGAGTGTTCAGCCACAACCCACCTTAACAGGTTCTTCAGGCAGATTGTTAGTGGGCTAGTCAAGCACCAGGCTGGCCATCTGAATCTACCATCAGGTTGATTTATGGTGGCATTCATAATGAGGCAGTGTATTTATTGTGAAAGCCAGCAGCAGTTGAATTCTCTATGTAAAATTGTAGTGACCAGTATTTATCATATGACTTCCCCACATCTAGAAAAATGCCTGGTACAAATTAGGTAATCAGTAAATTTGGGTTGAATAAACTAAAAGGAATTCTGCCTTCCCAAAATAATAGAAGCTACTGATTTTTTTTTTTTTTAATGTGACTTGCCTTCCCAAGATGTAGCCAGCATAATCTGTTGTATTAAATATAGTCTTCTTTTTAATACCTTTTTTTTTTTTGGCAGGTTCATATAAGTACCACCGGGTTAATTGTGACCCCACCCCCAAGCAGCCCAGTGACAACTGGCCCCTCGTTCACTTTCCCATCAGATGTTCCCTACCAAGCAGCCCTTGGAGTAAGTATAGTTTCTCTCATCTTTATTTCTCTTTTAGGTACTTCATCATGTTAGTCTGGCACACTCCACCCTGTAACACCTGCAGTTTACGTTGATACTTACTAGGAGGGGTGGATCTCTATCTTTCATCTATTATCTCTGTTAATCTTACAAAAACTTAGAAAGTCTCTTGCCTGCAGCCTGCAAAATTTTTAACAGTGAGGATCAGTTGCATGAAGCTGTTAGGAGAACTCTGAAAAATACATTTATTTTCATTAAAGTTCAACCTTATTTCCTGAAGGCTTAACCTTTATCTCTCTTTTCTAGATCCTGTTTGTTTCTTATTAAGGCACATTTATAGAAATACTGAGGAAACAATTCCCGAAAGCTAAATGGTTTGCTTTGAGTTGCATGATAAATTGATACCTAATCTCTCCATTTAGGATTTATCCTTTAATTTCTTGCCTTCTATTCATATAGCTCATAGTTGTGGTTATCTAAAGGTACCTGTGCCTTGGAAGACTTCCTTAGATTATGTTGATTTTTCCTTCTTAAAACTAGCATTCTATAGGTAGAGTCCAAACACTAATTGCTTTAAAACATCTGAACAGAGGAAATTAATAGGGATAATTAGGTAACCAAGGGAGACAGTTACAAAGAAGAGTGCTGTGGAAAGAAAATTAAAAGGGAAGAAACAGCAAATGCAACCTTAAATAGTAGAGAAACACAATAGTTTAAGTCCCTATTTCCAAAAATGGTAGGCAATTGAACTGCAGGGAACTAGCAATTGTGAGACATCTCTTATCCAGGCCAATGCCTTGGCTTATACTTTCAGACTATTTGTTTCAGCACTGAGTTGAATGAGGATAGAAAAGATTTTTAAGTCAGATTGCCCAGTACCTGGATCATTGCATCACCCCACCCACTCCACGCCTGTTAGTTATGATGCTCCGAGAGAAACAGTGTGGCCCAATGCTGGGGGTATAGGCCTGTGGTGAAACCGATCTGGGTTTGAAGTCCCACTCAGTCACTCATTTGTTCTGTGACCATGGAAAATTTAACTGGGCCTCTCTAAGCCTCAGTGTCCCTGCCTATAAAATGAGATTAATAGTCTATACTTCAAAGTTAGAACATAGAAGGGAATGACTATTATTGATCTCATTATTGGCTTCTGTTGAAGACCATTACAAGGTAGGCCTGTGACATGTGCCGCTTGTTTAAGAATGCCTTGAGGGCTGGGTTCTCTTTGTTACAATTTTCTCTGCTCTCTGTACCAGGAATAGTAAGGCTTCTAAGTAGCTGGTTTGTTTTTAGGCTGTGGATTTTATATGTGTTGTAAAGATTTTATTTCCCTCTGCTAGAATGCTTAGGGCCAAATTTGAAGCCCCTTCCAGCAAGGGCCTCAGAGCAACATATTAGTGAAAATGTTGGCTCCGTCTAGTTTTATTGTTCTCATTTTCCATTTGCCTCGTTTTTCTTATTTCATATTTATTTTGTCTTGATACATTTTATACATAATTGAAAACTGGTTTTGAAACAAGGTGGGATATAATTAAATGCAGAGTTATTACCTAGCTTGTCTTAGACTTTTGAACTTTTTATAGAGTTAAGCTTGTTCTTGTATTTAAATGGAAGTTAATAATGTTCTAGTTAGAGGTTAAAGTTTTTTTTTTAAAGTTCCCTGAATGATTACAGCTTCCTTGATAGCACAACTGTTTGGTGAAGGAAAAGTTGCCTGGATTCATCTGGGGAGAAGACAAATTTCAGTTAACTTTTATTGAAATGTGGTTTCCATGAGATTCCATTGGCCCTGGATGTTTGACCACAGCCAAGTTCCATAGCCATCTGCCCTCTAATCTCCAGAGGAGACTCTTTCCTTTCCATCCCACCCCTAGTACATACACATAACTAGTTGGTAGTTCCATTTCCAGATGACTACCTTGCATGGAAAAATTCTAACTTAATTTCTTAAGGGGACAAAAAAAAGACTGACTTTTCTGATCTTAGAAAAATTAATTAGAGGAAAAGACATAAGACTGGCTGAGTGTGCAGCCCTTGTGGGCTGAGAATTTTACAATACTATGTAGTAAATGGCCAGTTGCTCTTAGCTGGGGGCTCACTGTAGGGAAAATCAATGGGACAGGTCACAAGAGAGCATGAATATACAAAAATTAATTTATATTCAACCATTTTATCCTAGGATTATATAAGAAAGCCTGTATGTTAAGCAAGAGGAAGGTTTATTAAATAGTATGTCTACTGTGCCAATTCCATTTAATGAAAAATTAATTATAAACAGACCTAACATCCCAGGAGATATCCAGATCTCAAAGTCCCTGGTAAGTTGGCAGAAATGTTTTAGATTTAATATGTTATGTTTAAGTGGGAAAATCTCAGTAGCCTTTGTGATCTCCATCTTACATTAATTGTGGCAACTATTCTGTTTAAGATTTAAATGTTTTTAAAGACTTTGAGTACTATCAAAGCAAAAGCGTGCAGCTTGGTAGAAAAGAAACCAAGTTTTCATGGTTTGGATTTATAGGTAATAAATGCCACCACCAGAATGGGAAATAAAAATTATGTCTAGTGTTTTTCTCATGAAATCAGATTTTTTAATCTTTTATGAAGAATGAAGTTCATAAATATATTGTCCCATACATTTCAAATGTAGCACTGAAAATGTTAAATATCTAACATGAACAAGGCTAGTATTATATCCATCTAATTCAGAAATCAAACCATTAATAGTAGTGGGGGTTTTTTCTGACTAATTTTTGGGGGAAGGAGGGTGAAGATCTTGGTACTGTATCTTTTGCACAGTGGTAGAAAACTTCTAAAACTATAATCCCTGATTCTCTGTTCCAGCTGGGAGGTGTTTACCTGCAAGGTGTCACAGGGTTAATAAAGGCCAAATACTGCCCATGGCCAATTTATAAACAAATTGCATTCCAAAATGTTTAACCCTGATTTAAAAATTTTATACACCACATGTGTGTGTGCGCACGTGTGTGTGTGTGTATTAAAAGAAAGTTAAACAGTGTTAGGGTCTCAGAATAGCCAATATGGTGTTAGCTTATTGTGGTTCATGGTGGAGGCTAAGCAGAACTTATTGCTGTCAGCAGGATCAGGGAAGAGCTCTGGAAGTAGAGGGATGGGGCTGCCAACCCTGATAGTTACAGAGGTAGAAGTAGAACCTTTGGAACTGGCAGGAGTTTCAAAAATCAGGATGAGGGGTGGGATATGGTGAAAACTTTCATAGCAACATCAGAAAAGGACTCTAACATTTCAGCAGCTGAGACCTCTTGAATCCGTATCATATTGTTCTAAGAGAGGATAGAAGCGCAGAATGTTTTCTCATTCATGAAACACACATTGGGGATCTGTTATCTTCTGGCTGTAAAACACTTGGTATTGTTCTTGCCAGCAAAACCAAGACGAGTAAGACAGTCTCTGACTTCACAGTAGTGTGAATCATAACAATAGCTCCCATTTATTGAGCTTCTGCTATGCTCCAGGGCACTGAGAAAGGCAACTTACATAAACTAGTTCTAATTATTAACTCCATCTCAAAGATCGGTATAGTGAAACATAGAAAGCTTATATAATCTACACAGATTCAATTAACTAGTATAGATATCTCTCTTCTTTGGTATAGATCAAATGTGAAACAGTAAATCTACAACATATGTGTACATGTGGTAATGCTGCTGAAACTGGTAACACTGCTGACTTGAGGGAGCATCACCACACAGTAGCTTGAACTGTTCCCTCTTTGACCAGTGCACATGCATCTGAGTTCAGTACTCAGAAAGACCATTTAAAGATGTTGATGTGTTGTAGGGCTGAAAGTGGATTGATTGGAAATCAGATGTTTAGAAGGAAATGATGATAGTATTGGGGTTATTAAATGGTATTTGCCCAAGGGACACAGAAATGCCCCGTCTATCCTGCCAGTCACTTTTCTACCCTGGGAGGTGTATGAGGGAGATGAACATGTAAGGGGCAGTTGGAAAGGAAATGAACTGTTTATTGTCAGTTGAACTTGTACCCGAAGCTCCAGTGCAAAGCACTTTACTGGTAAGCTGGCCTGCAGCCCTTGGCCCAGGCTTGAGACCTATTGGATGTTTTCCCTTATCCTTAACCAAATCCAGATCTAACCACTGTTCGGGCTGGTTGCATGAAAGGGCAAGAGGAGGAGAGAGCACCAGAAAGGAGGAGATTCACACCCACTTACTTGAACTTTTCACTCACAATGTCCATTAGCAAATGTGGCCTGTCAGTGTCCTGGAATGCTGTCCACTCAGAGAAAAGATACTTCCTCCCTGGGTGCTCACTGTGGCAAAAGAGGGAAGTCAAGGACTGCCCTAAGAGGCTGAGTCAGGGTTGGAATCTATTTTTTTCTGACCCCAAAGCCCATGTTTCTTCTATAATGCAAAGCTATTTCTTCTTCTTTTTTTTTTTTTTGTCTTTTTCCGTGTCCGGCAACGGATCGCAACCCTCAGTGTTGCCCCGTACCGGACCGGGGACCGGCAACGGGATTGCAACCCTCGGTGTTGCTCCCGCGCCTCGCTCAGCCAGTGAGCGGGAACCGGTCTGCATGTAGGATCCGAACCCTCGGGCGGGAGCGCCGCCGCACTTCTCAAGCGGCGCACTATCCAGTGCGCCACCGGGCCGGCCCGCAAAGCTGTTTCTTCTTTCAAGATCAGTGGGTCAGGCGATCTTGAAACATGGCAAAATATAACCATTTCACATTAGCAGGCCATTCCTAAGTTCTGTTTTTAATGAGCAAAATATTGTTAACAAAATGTGACCTGTGTTTCTAACAGGTCCACAGATGGTTTTTGCTGGTGGTGGAGAGTGCGTTTTGGCTTCTGGTGCCTGGGCTGGTCCAGAGTACAGATAATAGGCAGGTCTTCAGGTCAGCTGTGTGTGAATGAAAAGCTGTGGTTTACTCTGTAGAAATTTCAGGTCTTGCAGGATAGCAAACTGCCTGGAGCACAATATACAGTGGATTACCTTTTGAACTTCCGCATCATCAGAGTATTTCAGTTTAGGCTGTTTATAAAGCAACCCACAAAACTTCCTAGTCTGTCATAGCCCTAGACTTACCAGAGCCCTATCATTTTACCAACCCCACAGGGCTGAGTAACATCTAGGGATCTGATTTTAATCAGACTTTCTCTGTTGGTCTTCGTCTGTGTGCTTATGTACATACAAAAACACATGCAAACACATATGCACATTTACCCAGCATTGGGGGAAAATCTGCCTAATTTTATTAAGACCATCTAAGTTTCAACTGCAAAATTGGGATCTTTCAGAATATCCTCTCTTATGCCATTTCTCAGTGCCTAACTTTTTTTTTCTTTCTTTCTTTTTTTGGGTGGGGGGGCAGGGTGCTGGCTGGTATGGAGATCTGAACCCTTGGCCTTGGTGTTATCAACACTGCACTCTAACCAGTGGAGTTAACTGGCCAGCCCCTCAATGCCTAACTTATACTCTTTACAAAAGTAATGTATGTGAAACATTTGCTTATTGTATTTTGTAATAAGAAGTGAACTTTCTTTACATTTTTTAAATAAAATTTAACATGTTTTTATTAGGCCCATAGATGTTTTTTACCTTTTTCTTCTTACGGCCAATCTAGCACATCATCTGTTTCTTAAGATATAATAGACAATTTCAGTGACCTTGTTGAGTACATGCCATTTGTCTTCTGCCTTTCCACAGCCACTCTGTTTTGAGCTTGGGCATAGAAAGATTTGAATGGAAATCAGTTAAGTGGTAATTTTTTAGTTTTTCCATATATTACTCTATGTGCAGTGTAGACTTATCTCATTCATCAAGCTGCTGATGCATTACTATCCATGAACTGCTCAGGTCACATTTGCTGAGTATTTTACCAGGATTATCTTTACTTCTTTCTACTTTGTCACTGGAAGGAGGCCGAATGGAATGAATGCTTGACCTTCTTCTGCTTAAAGGTTTCGGAGGCTCTAAGCCTCAGAATGTGCGAATTCCAGAGCTATAACAAATCTTAATGCTGTCATGTGTTGTATGGAGAAAGTGAGTAACTTTTTCATGATGTTCTAACTTTTTGAACCAACCTCTGCCTTGTCCAGGTTAGCACTCTGTAAGCAGCTCTGCACCTCATTTATTTCTGCACTAAATGTTCTGCAGCAACTTCAGCTGCAGTGTGGGAAAATCTTGACTGAAAGTCTCTTTAGCTAAAAATTAAATATAGTGTGTGAAACAGTTGCAACATATGTCTAGAAATTAGACATTTTTTCTACTTTGTTTATTAGGTTCCTGGAAATATGTACATTAACAGACAGATGAAGTTAAACATTTAAATTTTTATTCTGAAAAATAAAATGACTGTTAAGAACTGTGTTTAAAAATCATTGGTTTTTTCTTTTTAATATGCTGATGTGTAGAAACATCATGCTTTCCTAGGTGCATTCTTTAGTCTCCTTATTTCTCCATTGATTCAGTTTTTACATCTCGTGGCTCAAAGATTTGGGGAGGGTGAGGTGGAGATTCAGGCGGTCTTTGTGTGCCTGTTTTCCCAGGAGTTTCAGTATACAGACCCTAAAGAATTATCTGGGGTTTATAGATCAGAAGGTAACAATTGCTCCATTGATTTTCTAAAGGCATGGAATCCTGTAGGCAGAAGCCCATTAGGCTGTGCCCATAAAGTAACCAACAGCTTTTCACTGGTGTACTTGTTAAAGATTACCAGCCTTGATAGTACTAAATTTCAAAAGCTGGCAAAGTAAAGAATAAGCAAAAGTAGCAATAATACCCCGTGACTGTGGCTTGCCATTGTTTGGGCTTTTTGAAGACCAGGCATCAAAGGAAATTTTCTTCTGAAGAAATGATTTGAGATATAGTGCAACTGAATTGTTTTTTGTTGTGTTTTAAGTTTCGGATTACAGAAACAATCACAAATTAATTCCTAACAAGCTGCGTGATGTTATAGTTGCCCCCTCGAAAGACATTTGTATTCTTGTCCAAGTCTATACTTAAAAGTGCTATTAATCTTAAAATTACGTGCAGTCGTTTCATTTTTTCTTTCCCTCCTTCCAAGAGTGATTACTTACCTATTTGCTGAATAAGTTGTTGTGGCTTTAAGATCATAAAGGAGAACAAGAGATGAATTTTTAAAAGGGGGCTTTTCATACGAAGTAGCCTGCTGGTTCTGCTCTGTGTGCATTCCATTAAAGTCGTGTTCTCTGGATTTGATTCCTTTTCCCTCCTACCTTCCATAGTAGATGTAAATAAATATTTTGTTCCTTCCCCCCTCCTCCTTATTTGTTTCCTATACCAGACTATGAATCCTCCTCTTCCCCCACCCCCTCTCCTGGCTGCCACTGTCCTCACCTCCACACCGCCAGGCGCTGTTGCTGCTGGAATGGGACCAAGGCCTACGGCAGGATCCACTGACCAGATTGCACATTTACGGCCTCAGACTCGCCCCAGCGTGTAAGTGAGGGTGTCATTTATTACTGCTTAAGCATTCATTTAAAATTAAGTCCAAATAGCAGAGGTGGAGAAACACCTTTCTGGTATGAGCCGGTGACAGGCTTATGGCTCACCAAGTGGTTTGTGTTCTGCAGACTTCTATCTGGTCATGCATATAATTAGGAAACTGCTGAAACAAAATAGGTCTAATGCATGAGCTTGCTCAGTAGCTATCTTGCTAAGTGAAGGCCTTTCATAGTTTAGGGAAACATGCTGTTTACTTCTTTATAATATTATGTGAGTACAGAACTGCCTTTTTTGTTTGAGCTTTTTGTCTTCATTTTCATTCCTTGCATTAGGACAGTAAGGAACAGGAAGATATTCCACACAACTCAGATCTAGATCTAGTTGATCTAGATCTAGTTGGAGTATGCATGTAAAAATTCCCCAGCAATAAGTATCCAGAAATTTCTCATTATTCTGTTCAGGGTTTTCTTTTTTTTTTTGTCTTTTGTCTTTTTCCGTGTCCGGCAACAGATCGCAACCCTCAGTGTTGCCCCCGGACCGGACCGGGGACCGGCAACGGGATTGCAACCCTCGGTGTTGCTCCCGCGCCTCGCTCAGCCAGCGAGCGGGAACCGGTCTGTATGTGGGATCCGAACCCTCGGGTGGGAGCGCCGCCGCGCTTCCCAAGCGGCGCACTTATCCAGTGCTCCACCGGGCCGGCCCCATGTTCAGGGTTTTCTGATGGCAGAATACAACTAGATTTTTGTGGATCCTGCATTGTGTGAATTTATACACAAACAGTTTAGAGCACTGGTAAGAACTATAAGTTAGTGTTGCCTGCCTGGTTTCTGTGTGTTGGTAGGTACAATTACCTTGCATTGTGGAATTGTTTCGCACTCTCTATGATCTAGACTTTGTTTTCCTTTGACCTTTTCAAACTCAGTCTTCTTCCTGGCTGAGCATATGAGCATATAAAAGCAGGTGCAGCTCAAGCTTCCAGGTTCAGCTTGTATGTGGAAGGCAGCATGTTGTGCTTCCCAGTGGATTTCATACAATATGTCTATTTGGGGCTACTTCCCAAGTCTAAAAAGTGCCATTTGAGAAGCTCAGTTTTCCTGGTGGGTACCTAATCTTTAGCAGCAAGTTAGGCAGTCTTGGAAGCTGTATTAATTCTTCCACAGTACACAAATACCATTTGGTGGGATAGTCACTTCCACACTGGGAGGAGCAGGTTCAGCAGTTCTTAATCCGGAAGGCTTCTGCCTATATTTAAAACGTAGACAGCAAAACCTCTTTCAAAGGAGAGTTGCCAATGCAATTTACAGGTTAAAGGGTTATACTTTGTGTTTACATTTGTACAAAATACTCAAGACTTTGTAGCAAAGAAGAGTTTTGAGCATCTTGGGGTTTGTCTGTTACTCAGCCTGAAATCAAAATTTTTTTTTCTATTCTAGGTATGTTGCTATATATCCATATACTCCCCGGAAAGAGGATGAGCTAGAGCTGAGAAAAGGGGAGATGTTTTTAGTGTTTGAACGTTGCCAGGATGGCTGGTTCAAAGGCACATCAATGCATACCAGCAAGATAGGGGTTTTTCCTGGCAATTATGTGGCACCAGTCACAAGGTATGGTTTTGAGTAAATGGCTTAAGTTCTAAACAGAGAAACTTTGTTCTTTTCTATGGTTTTCGGCCTACAGATTCTTTCTCACATTTTAACTGCCTGTTACATACCGAAAGTTTTTAAAATTTATATCTATATTTGTTAAAATTCCTTCTAACTCTAAAATTCTTAGTATACTTTTCAAATGGATACATGTGAAATTATAGGTTTCTACCAATGAATGTACTGGGTTTCAAGTTATTTGCTTTATTTTATATGTGAGAAGATTCAACTACACCAGTTTCAGTATTTCTCTACTAGAAAATAAAAACATAGTGTTTAATATAAACAAAAGCTATATTATTAATATTTATATGTTTATATAATGCTTACTAGGTGCCAGGTAGGCAGATTTCTAAGTGCATTACACTATAAGTCCTTAAACAACTCATTGATGTAGTTGCTGTTATTATCCCCATTTAATAGACAAAGAAATTGAGGCACAGGGCCAGCCCGGTGGCGCACTGGAGAGTGCGCCGCTTGGGAGCACGGCGGCGCTCCCGCCCAGGGTTTGGATCCCATGTGTTGCCCGGTTCCCGCTCACTGGCTGAGCGAGGTGCGGGCGCAACACCGAGGGTTGCGATCCCGTTGCCGGGCAGTAAAAAAAAAGACAAATAGGAAAAAAAAAAAAAAAGAAATTGAGGCACAGGGCCAGCCCGGTGGCGCACTGGAGAGTGCGCCGCTTGGGAGCACGGCGGCGCTCCCGCCCAGGGTTTGGATCCCATGTGTTGCCCGGTTCCCGCTCACTGGCTGAGCGAGGTGCGGGCGCAACACCGAGGGTTGCGATCCCGTTGCCGGGCAGTAAAAAAAAAGACAAATAGGAAAAAAAAAAAAAAAGAAATTGAGGCACAGGGCCAGCCCGGTGGCGCACTGGAGAGTGCGCCGCTTGGGAGCACGGCGGCGCTCCCGCCCAGGGTTTGGATCCCATGTGTTGCCCGGTTCCCGCTCACTGGCTGAGCGAGGTGCGGGCGCAACACCGAGGGTTGCGATCCCGTTGCCGGTCAGTAAAAAAAAAGACAAAAAGGAAAAAAAAAAAAAAGAAATTGAGGCACAGAGAGATTAAATAAATGGTCTGAGGTACATAGTGAGGAAGTGCTCAAACAGGAAGTCTGGGTCTGTATTTCATTACCTTGGTGATTACCTCTGAATTCTTGCATTTAATTTCTATGATACAGTTAGAAATAAAATTCCTAAAATATGGCATAGATTCTTCTCAACTGAGGGTGACTTTGCTCCCCAGGAGACATTTGGTAATACCTGGATGTATTTCTGATTGTCACAGGTCGGGATGGGAGTTACTGCTGGCATGTAGTGGACAAAGGCCAAGGATGCCACTAAACATCATACAATACATAGGACAGTCTCCCACAACAAAGAGTAATCTGGCCCAAAATGTTACCAAGATTGAGATACCCTGTTAAAGGGTGATAGGAGCTTTCAGTATACAAAATTTTCTTTATTTAAAGATAATTCACCTTCTGGTCACTGAGGAAACTAGCCTTAGAAACTGAATAAAATGAAATCAGTACTGAGGAAGGCCCTGGTTTTCGACCACTGGACTATTAATAAATGGCCTAGCTTTAACTGTGTTAAAACATTCCTCAAAGTCTCAATTTTAAACAAATAGCTTAATGAACTGACATATTTGTCAGCCATTGGTCTTGAATTATAGGTCAGCCAGCAGCCTAATCAAATGAAAATCACTATTGTTGCAGATGGTGACAGAATATTAGCTTTAATTTGACTTGGAAATTTTTAATCAATATTCTTTTCTGTATATGTTAAAATCTACATTCAGGATCCAGTTCGTCTTGAAAATGGCAGTTAGAACCTCCCTGGTGCATAAAAAAAAAAAAAAAAAAAAAAAAAAAAAAAAAAAAAAAA